TGGTAACCTATAAAATAAGCATTTTTAAATATTTTTGATTTAATAGTGAGATATTATTTTTGATTTTTGATTCTATGCATTCTTAATGTTAAAAGTGTAACTTTTGTAATCTTAATTCTCTTAATAAATAAAAAAAATCTTAAAAATTATATAAGTATTCTATGAACTCTATGAAGTCTATAAAGTTTTAACATTAAAATATTATTAATTTTTCTATTAGTTTCTTTTTTATATTTATAAATATTTAATTAATATTACCTTTTTATCTAAAGCTTTTCCAATTGCTTGCAATAATTCATTTGTTTTAGTTGGTTCTTGACCAGAAATTATCTTACTGGCTCTTACAGTTAAATTAATTCCAGTAACTATCTCTGAAATTATTGTATGATATATTTGAATGCTAATAATATTATATTTTTATATATTTAAAAAAAATTATAACTTACTGACAATATCGATCAATTTTGTTAAATAAGCTAGTTTCGCCTCTTTAGTTTTTATATTTTCTGAATTTAGCTCTTCTTCTGAATACAAACCATTTAAAAAACCAGTTTCATTTATGATCTACAATATCATTCATTTATTAGTTACAAAATTTTTTATATTTGTTTTATTTAGAATATACGTAAGAAATACGTTACTGCTGATATAATATCATGAAGAAATCGAAATGGTGGTTTTCTTAATAATTTTTCGGTAAGTGGTGGTTTTTTGAAATACTTTCCGAGTAAATCTTGAGTTTTTTTAATTGTTTCCGGTTTTATGTCATCAACCATTGTTAATTATAAATAAAATATATTGTAATAGACATTTCTTATCCTTCCTGAAGTTTGTGTTGTATTAAATGGTTGCTTGGTAACCAATGTAATACAATATAATAATATATATGTAGTATTACATATATCGTTAACAAACTGTTGCAATCATATTGCAATCATATTATAATACAAATCAAAATTAGATATTAAAAGAGTAAAAAATTAATTAGTTACTCTGAATAAAAATTTTATTTGAAAAAGCTGAATATTTTATTACTTTATTATAGTTGATTACTTTTTGTATAACCTCGGTCATTTGATGTTATAGTTAATTGTGATTATTTTGAATAATAAATTATTGAAATAATTTTATTTTTAACTTTAATCGTTAAAAATTTTGCTCATTTCTGGCAGAAGTAAATATGACATGGGATATCTTTAAAAATTTAATCTATAATATAAAAAAAATAAAAAAAATATTTATACTAATATGTATTAATTAATTATTTAATTAATTTTATTATTATTTATAAAGTTTATTCCATTGAAATTATAAAATTAATTAACAAAATTATTTTTAATTAATGACGAAAAATTTAATAGTTGATTAAACATCAATTTTTAAATAAAGTTTTAGAATTTTAATAAATAATAAAGTAAATTTTAAACTATGTATAATTTATATATATAATAAGTTTTTCAGATTTTTAATAATATTTTATTTAAAAATTGCTAAATAATATTTTTTTTATAATTTTCAAATTCGAAGATTATAAAAATTATTTTTTGTATTAAAAATAATTATTTATTTATTATTTAATTCTCTTCATAAATAAAATAAAAAAAATCATATTCATTGCATTAATAATTTTGAAAGTAAGAATTTATTCATATATTCAAGATGCAATAAAATAAAAAAAATTAAGAATATAATGAATTGTGTTCAAAATTATATATAATAATTATTGTAATAATAATGATTATAATAATTAAATATTTCGTAGTTATCTATATTATAAATATATGAGTATGATTAAATCGAGAATTATAAATATATCTATATCTTGTTTCTTATAAATTGTTTTGGTATCTTATTTAGAATTTTTATAGCAAAATCTAAATTTTTTTATTCCGATTGCTAATAATTTTACAAATGTTTTCTATACTGAATTGGTAACATCGCATAATAATTATGTTAACATGAAAATGGTAAAAAAATTTGATGATTGGTGAATTCTTAAAAAGTATTGAATATTAGTTTATTCTATATTTCATTTGTGGGTAATTAATAGAATAATATGAATAGTTTGTTTATAATATTTAAATTTTATTATTAATTATCTTCATAATTATTGAAATTCAAAGATAAATATGTAACATTGGAATTATATATTTTAATTTTTTTCTTGAAATTTAAAATAGCAGGATTTGAAATGAAAAATTTTAGAAAGAGAATAAATTTGTTTAATAATAATTTTAAGTTATTTTTTTATATTATTCGAATTCTTAATGTAATTTTTAAAAAATCTATTTATTCTAAACATTACTATTCAATAAATAAAAATCAGTACTTTTAGATTATTATATTTTCTTAATTTTTTTATTATCATTATTATAAGTCAATATTATAGTCAGTATTATTATAAGTCAATAATTTGAGGAACAGTGACTCGTAAAATATCAGAATTCATGAGCAAGCATTATTCAAAAGAAGACGAATAAATAGATGGACATCAATGCATTAGTATTTTATAGTGCATTAATTAGTTTGCGATGAAAAGACAAATAAAAATTTTTTATTTGTCTTTATTATATAAAATTTTATATAGTTTTTATAATATTGTAAAAGAAAGAAGATCGTCCATAAAATGCGATTCTTTATTTAATTTCATTTTCTTTTTTCTAAGACCATCATTTTTATCATATTTTATAAAATCACTGTTTTATTGAACTTTCGTTTAATTGTATTTCCCAATTCAAATTCAGGTTATATGTTAATCATGATTTCTAATAAGCTTGGCTTTTATTTTAATATGTTTTGTTGATTTTTTTTTTTATCAAAATTAAAATTATTTTACGACGCTTCATGAAAAATTCTTTTCGTAAATTGATCATGTTCAAATGAATTTACGTTTATTCAAATAAATTATTTAGTTCCGCTAAGATGAATGATTAAAATTATTAAATGAATTTTTTATCAGTAAAATAATTGTAATGTAAGCATCATTTTAATATTTATACTCAAAAAATTATTTCAAAAATTATTTCTTTGAAATTAGTAATTTATCTATGTTGAGTAAAAAAATTTAATGAAATAAAAAATTTAATTAATTGAATAATTCATAATGTAAAATTATAAAATATATATTACAAATCATTATATATATGTATAAACTGTAATATCATATAACATAAATATATAGAGATTGTAGACATAAAAATATTAGAAAGAAAATTTTATCTAAATTGAACATTTTTATTTAATTAATTTACTTATATTTAATATTTACCATATTAATATTATATTAATAATTATTAATATTCGAAAAAAATATTTATTTTGATAATTATATTATAAAAATTTTGATTAATATTATTAAAATATGAATTCCAATTGATTAAAATTTTTTATTCTAACATGATAAATAAAAATAAGCATTTTTATTAAGATTACTAATCATTTTATTTTATCAGAATATGTCAAAATGTCTTTGATCAAATAAAAATTAAATATCATACATAATAATATGGCATCGTCCCGCTCACAAAATAAAATTATACCACACACAAATTATGTAACAAAAAAATCTCAGTATTCAGAGATCACAAAGTTGATTTTGCTGAAAATCATCATAAATTATAAAATCTAATATTCATAAGTTTCATCGTGATGTTATTATCCATATGTATGTCGACGATATTTATTTGCTTTAAAAGAAATAGATTATCGAGATATTAGATATGGAAGAATGAATAAAAATAATTTAATTATAAATTAATTTAACAGACTTATGTTTAATCTACGATATTGCAGTCAACAATACATAATCGACGATTCATGCTAATGTTACATACAATTTATACTTTTCTTCGTGTCGGTAATATAATGACGATCGTTTTAATTTTCGAGATTTTCGAACATTGATAAAGCTGTAATTTCTTTTTTTATTTAATTTCTTTTTTTATTTTTTTAAAAATTAATATTCAACTTTGCTATTCTTTCTTTTTAATAAATTATATTACATTTCCATCTTATATGTTTTACATCGATCATTTTGAATTTTTAATTAGTAAATGTATTTTAATGCATTTCCTTTTGAAATAATGTGTTAATTAATAAATAAATTTCTTAAAAATTAATCAAATACTAGTTTTTTTTTAAAAGATTAAATAATTTTCAAATAATTATTCTGAAAAAAGTATTTTATTAAATAAAATATTATATTATTCTGAATTTTATTATTATTGTTTAATTTTAATCAAGTTTATAAGATTTCATTTATATTTTTGAAAAAAGATAATATTTGTTTATTCTTTTGATAGTTTTATAAATATTTTTTAATGCAATCTCAAAGGTAAAGAATTAAAAATGTTCATGTATGAATATTTTTCAGTATTTAAAAATATTAATCATTGATTCTTTCATCAAATAAATCAGATTGATCAGTGAGTTTATATTTGATATTTACAGTGGAATCATATTTTTATCCTTATTAATATTTATTATTAATTAATATTTATATCCAATAATCAAATATTTCATTAAAATAAAATTATAAATTTCATTTTCATATTTGTAAACTTCATTTATAACTTTTTGCCACAGAAAAAAAATAATTTTGCAATAATTTTATTTAAATTGTTGAAAAATTGCTTCATTGTAAAACGTATTTACATATACTGTGACTTTTTCATTCAAAATATATTAATATTATATTAATAAACAAATTAGCGTTAAAAAAAACTATTTTTTTTATTTTATTATTTAATAAGTCACTCAGAAGTTACAATAAATTATCAAGGATTATTATGTTACCAATAAATATTTTAATTTCTTATATCATTAAATTCTAAGTGTCATGAATAGTCACCGATACCAAATATAAACCTAATCCAAGTTTATATTCATTAATTGTTCTTTTAATTATATAATTTTCTTTTTTCTAGTTTCCTTTATATCTTAAAATCTTAATTCCATGTTCATTTTCAACATTTTTTACATATCCACCTTATTTATTTTTGTATCGAAAATTCTCCCAAATCCAGACGATCATCTTATTTTTAGCCTCTATCACCAGATTTTGAAATTTTCCCCCCTATTTCCAATCGCAATCCTTTAGATTTCTTTATTCAAGATAATTCCACAGGGTTGAACTATGCCGAGATTCGTTAGTTTCAGCCTCTTCGAGGTGCTTTTGCCCTCATCTTTTTTCAGAAGTTCCTCTATTGAATAAGGATTTCTCTTTTTCTGGGGTTGCGTCGGTCTTTCCTCAACCGCTATTTCTTTGGCCATAGTATTCTGCTCATTTCCGATTTTCAAAATTCGCGGTGACATTATCTTCTGCTTGTCACTGGTCGCTGGAGGTGGGCTCTGTCGATTTTCGAGATTTATAGACGAACCGGATGTACTATGTCTTACGAATGCACTACGATCGCTACCGATTTTTTGGCCAAGTTCTAGAATAATAGGTGAATTTTGAAATGGTTTGTAGTGATCCTGGGATTCCGTGTTTTCATCTAGATCGCTTTTGTCCAAGGAATCATCACTGCCTGCCATTGAACTCGAGCTGGATTTCAAATCGACTTGATTCGTTGGTCCATTCTGCTCTGAGAGACGTTCTACATCTAACGATCTATAATACATAAATTTTTAATTGTTTATTTAATATATTTTAATTGTTTGATAGAGATTAATTTTTAATTGAATAGTAAATTTTGAGTAATAAATTTTCTGCTTTTTTTTATTATAAAGAGATTACAAATATAATAAAATTAATTAAATTAATTTTTGTATAGATTTTTTTATATTAAAGTTTTTAAATATAGGCTTATTTATTAATTTACCTTATTTTTTTTTTACTTTATTTATATTTTATTATTGTATTCAAATATTGTATTTTATATATTCAAATAATTTTGAATATGTTTCTTATTTTTAGAAACTATAAAAATATATATAAAAAACTTTCGTTATTTGAATGAAATGGAGAGAAAAAATATAAATGCTTGATTATAATTTTTAGTTCTTTTATTTATAGCTATCAATTATTATTATATTTCAAATGGCATAAATGGCATTTGTATTATTTATTGTTATTTGAAAAATTAAGAAAACTAATTAAATAGAAGACAATCATTTAAGGAAAAAATTAAGTTATACTTACGTAAATGATTGCATTCCATGATGCAAGTGCAATGTTGTTGCTTGATAAAGAGATGAATAAAAACTCGGATTCCAAGATGGCGCGCTGGTATTACTAGAAGTCGTGGAAATATGCAATGGTCCCAATGTTCCTGGATAAAATAATTGGTAATCCGTTCTCATAAGTGCATCTATAAATAAAAATAAAAATTTTTAAAAATATTGATAATATAATGGTAATAAATATTGGTAATAAATATAATTAAAAATATAATTTAATAAACAATATATCTCATTAATATTTAACATTTTTCTGAATTAAAAATATTGTTAAGTTGAAATTCTAAATTGTATTACTTTTATTTCTCATAAAATTAAGTTCATATAAATCATTATATATATATATTATATGAAATATACAAAGTTTATTACAATCTTAATTATTCTTTTTTTTTCATTTGTTATTTTAAATTAAATCAATATACTATATTCGTATTTATAAATAATTTTTTGAAATGGATGAGAAGAATAGAGAAAAGATGATTTATTTTTATGATAATTTATAATAATTACAATTATAATTATAATATTGTATAAAATTATTATATTATATAAGCAATTTAGACAAATGATATTAGTTAATATTTAAACAAGTAGGAATATAGATTTAAATATTTCAAACATAAATGAATTATAATAATAATGATCATTTATAATGAATTATAAATGAATTAACAATCGAAATTTTTAAATTTATTTTATAATTAATATTAAAATTTTAATATTTTTAGTTATTAATATTTTTTTTTCAGAATATTTAAAATATTAAAATTATTAAAAAAATTTAAGTAAATCTAATTAAAAAATAATAATATAATTAGCACAAGATATCGTGTTATACAACACGACGGATTCCATGACTGATTAATATATAAACTTTATGCTTACAACTCTATATCAGTTAGTAAAGAAAAAAAAAATCGCAGTGTTGTAGACAATTTATGGAATAAACAAAATAAATTTTGAGAAAATCGAGTTCTTATAAGTTCTTATAAGTTGCGTGTCGGTCATCAAGATACAGCATGCTGACGAATCAATCGCCGACCAGGGTATTTTACAATTTCTTTTTTTTTTTACTTTCTTCTATTCTTTTTTTTCCTTTCTTTTCTTTTTTCTTTTCTTTCAATTGTTGCAACTTTATAATGTATTTCCTTTTTTTTTTTTTCATTTTTTAATATATTTATTTTAATATTGATTGTTTTAATATTGATTTGATTCATTATATATATGTATATATATTATTCCAATCATGATTTTGAAATATAAACAGATCTTTAAGAAATCATTTAATCAACAATATTCATGATACAATGTAATTTTCCTAATAATAGCACAATAAAAATAAATTAATTTTGATATAGATTTTTGATTGAAAACTAAGATTCTGGATTCGAGTTTGTGAAATGAATTAAAAATTTATTATCAATTAAAAAAAAGATTTTATTTCATAATAAGAATTTACCTCTATTAGGGACATTTGAAGAAATTTGCGAGGTATAGCTGCTCTGAGAACCACTCTCGATTCCTGTATGATCAGTATGAAGTCCACCGCCTCGAAGAATTCGATTTACCGAAGAAACAGAAGGTAAACTTTGAGGATCACAAGCTCCTTGTCGCGCAAGTTGTTCTCGGATCTCCCAAGCGAACATTGTTGGTTGTTCTTGTTTCATTCGTAAAATTTTTTTTACAACTGTAGGTGTAGCTACTTGCTGAAATAATAATCATAAATTTTAATATAAAAATTTTTGAATAAAAATTCGAATTAAATTTTAATAAAGGATCATATCAGACACAGATCTTGGGAAATTTCATAGAAAATGAACAAGATATGTGGAAATAATAATTAATATGTATTACTTATTATTATTAATATATCAATTTATAATCAATTTTACCAAACTACTAAAATCTAAATATATTGATATACTTTAATTAAGAAAGTTAAATTTTATAAAATATAGACAGGAATGATATAATAAAATTACATAGATTCTGATGCTTTGAAAAAGATTTAATATACTAAGATTTAAAATTAATTCGATATCTTCAAAATTTAAGTATTGTTTATTGAGATATAAAATGATTTTATCGATTCAATATTGATTCTATCCTTCTATGATTTTTTATTGATGATGAGAATGATGATAAGATTTCAATAATAAAATGTATAAATGAATAAGATTGATTTTTTTTGTCACAAATATAGAATTACTAAAGTACGCTAAAAAAACATTTACAATGTCGTATAAATGTTATAAATATTTACTGCAGTTTTACTTTTCTTTTCTATTGTGATTCTTCTTTATAATATTTTTAATATTTTTTACATTTCATTTTTGCAAACAAAATTTTTGCTTTTTAATTCCAATTTTGAGAATTTTTTTTATACTTTCTTAAAAATATAATAATAAAAAAGTTAGTAATAGAAAGTTTTATTTTAAAATTTTGAATTTTAAATATATGATTCTTTACTCTAATTTGCATATATAACAAATTCATTTATATTATTGATTTTTATTTTCTACGTCAAATTAGATAAATAACAAATAATCAATTTTATTATACATTTAATTTTATTTTCCATATACAAATAAATTTCCAAAAGTATAAAGAATATAAAGAATTATCCATAATCAAAATATTTGAAATTTATTTATTTCTACTCATATTTTATTGCTATCAATTTAAATTCAGATAATAATCAAATCAGATAATAATCTTAACTTAATCTTAACTTAATCTTGATATAAATCTATTTATATCAATTATTATTCCTTATTTTTTAATATATCAAAGAAAAATTAAGAAATTTTAATTAATCATATTTAATTCTATTTTTTATAAATATGCAAATAATAAGTTATTTATTTTTATTTAAATAATGTTGCACTTATAAAGAATTAATTCTCTAATACACACATATAAAATTTACAATCCCATGATGAGCAACGGTCTTATAATTGATCGTTGTTGATCATTAGCCTTTGGTCATTTTTCTTTCCAACTTTCCTTCCAAGGGAATCGGCACTATCTCATCGACAAATTAACGCGAAAGTAGTCATACTATCGTTGAAAAGGGCAGCAGCGACCATATGTCGTTCACAGGTGAAACACGTTAGTTGTGCCAGTAAATCAGATAACGGATAAGGTCTCAAAGATAGGTGGGTAATGTGTACCACATTTTATTACAGTTTAGCCCCGGTTTACCATGGAGAGGGGGTCATCCGTTCCTCGCGTCTTATTTCTTTTTGACAGTCCCTTTGAGTAGGCCCAGTGGTGCTCAATCTGGCCAACGTTCATTTGACTTGCTAATGAACTTATCGTTCGGGCTTTGGATAATTTTATGCTAACGCAATGGAAATATTATTCGTCGTATACAGATTTTCAAGATCGCCGATTTCTTTAGGGCAACTACTATGTCACTGACACCGAATATGATACAATTTGATACAAGAAGAGGGGGGCGTATTTCCTCGTGATATTCTATGTAGGGAGCATAAATTTAATTATTTTGGAATTTTTTTTTTGGAATTTTAATTGTTATCAACATTTTTGTAAATTGTTACTATTGTTCTAATTATAGAGATAGTCCGACGTTTTTTTAACAAAAAAAATTTTTTAATTATTAATAACAATTAATAATTAAATTTTTATTCAATCGATGTATAACTGTGATTATTGTTATAATTGAAATGATTATAATTTTTGAATATAGATAATTAGTGATTAATTATTAAAATATGTTTTGTTGTTATTATTTGCATATTTATAATATTAAATGGAATTTTAATAAAAATTAATAAAAGTCCTGAATTATCACAGTATTTTTAAATAATAGATATGATAGGTAAATAATATTAATTGAATAATATATTTAAATAATTGATCATACTTAAGTAACAATTTTAAATCAAAAATTAAATTGAAATTGATATCTAATATTATTTTTGGATAAAAATTAA